TCCTATATATATTACTATAATCAAATAAGATAAATTTTCATAATCAAATTTTAGATTGGCAGTACTTTTTCTATATATCTCTCGTTGTTAGTTGGGCACAATTGGAGTCGACTTGGGGATAGGTACCCATTTTAGGAGGTTTGAACCAAAAAATAGGGGAAAAAAAAAAAAGATGATTTACATGCATAACTTTTAGGAAAGAATAAAATACAAGATCTAATTGTTATCAACTTTAGGAGGTTTTTAAAAAAATAGGAAGAAACAATTATGAGGTACGGAGGATACGAAAATCTCTATTGTACCTTCGTAATTAAGATATGGAAACAATGATGAGATAAAGATGGATATGAAAATCTCAAATTAAGAATACGGAAAGAATAATGATCTCTCTCTCACAAATTAAGGCATAGAAACAATGTCGAGATAAGCATTGATATGGAAATCTCCCTCTCTAATGAAGATATGGAAACATAATCTTAGTTATGATATGCGTGTCTTTTTCTCTCTTGAATTTTATTTCTCCTATATATGTTATTATATAATAAAATAGGTTAATCTTAATGTGAAAAAAAAGATAGGTTAATCTTAATGTGAAAAAAATAAGATATGTTAATCTGAGATGAAGGCATTTCGGAAATGATTGAGAATTTCCTGTTGAAGAGAAATGTCATTGGGCTGAATAAACGTGTCGACCTAAGATGGCTAGCTGAATCAATGAGCAAAAATATAACCATTTTTTAAACTAGAATCAATTTTGGAGGACTATAGGAAATTTGAAGAGCATTAGAGGTTAAGATAAATTATTGTGATTTCTCAACAACCATTTACAAACACATTATACTTTACATACAAAAAGATTTGCCAATTCCGGCTCAATATGGCGATTCCCAATTTGGATCAAAGAATTTCAAGATACTGCTTTTTTGTTAAGGACACGATACGAGTCCACGTAGAAATGAGTCACCCCTTAAAAATCTATTTTTGACATGGAATTTTGGATCTAATTTTTAAGGACATGTAATCTCTACCATGGAGATCATGAATATGAAATAAATAAATAAATTTAAAAATTTAAAAATTTAAAAATAATAATTCTATTAAAAAAATATTTGGACTGTCAGTTTCAATTATTTTTAGATGGACCACTTATTGCATCCATCTTTAAGATGGACGCTTTAAACCTTGGAGACTGCAAATGTACAAATGCGGTCCCTGCTGCATGCAACAATTTTCCCTATGCAAAATGTGCATTATTAAAGTATGATGTCCTTTCTTTTCAAACTTTTTTTTCGATCATAGATTTGCTCGCTTTGTAGTTTATATTTATCAAAAAGAGTTTAAAACGACATGTATAATTTATCAAGAAAAGACTAAGAATCTGTACGTATGTCAAGGTAGCCGTAAACAATTTTGTGAGAAAAATTCAATAATATGTATTTTTATTTTAAAAATATTAAATTAATATTGAATTATTCATTTTAAATTATGTGTAATGCATGTATGTATCAAAAGAGGGTTGAGATTTTCAAGTTTGCACCCAATCAAACACAGGTCACCCACCAAAAGAAAAAATTTGTGCTTCATATCAACCCATCCTCCTTTATCATCAAAGAAAAAAAAATTTATTTTATTTTACTTTTTCTGAGAATAAACTCAAAACCGGTGAATCCAAGATCTATAGAACCTCGGTGCCAGCTCAAACTATTCATGACAAAAACAGTACAATAAGTAGGAGAAATCAATCGGGTTCCACAATTGGCACATAATCATAATTTCATGAGAAATATTTACCAAGAACAAGGAATTTTCTTGGCAAGCACAACGAAAGACTTAAAATCAGTAAGTGACTGAATTCTCTAATAATGTTCTCACATATTTTGTTATCTTCACAACAAATTAATAGAATATATATCAGAAAATATACAATAAGAGTATTTATTTTTAGGAAAATATTTCCGTACATCCTATTTTGATGTACCATTTCCCAATAGTCACGTAAATTTTTAAACTTCCTAGCAGCAGCATAGAGGTTGTAGAAAATACATCTTCTCATCCATTGGACTTAGTTGACCCTTTTTTATCACACGTTTTTTTTGCCCAAACAAAGTCTAAAAAGATAACTCTATTTCTTTCTAAATAGAAGCCCACAAGGTAAGTTTTTTTTATTGAAATTAATGGAATTTACAGATATCTCAATTTTTTTTTTACCCCTATTTGTTTCCATCTCTATCATGTTCTTTGAAAGTTTTGAAATGTGAGGAATTCACGCTGATGTCAGTGTGTTAAGGTCGTTGTTCTTGGCATAGTTTCAGTGATGTCCGAGTTAAGCTTTTGGTTTAAATTTGAGCAATTCACAGGGACCTAGTTGTAATGTCACACCAATTTTGTATCTGCAAGCCATTGTTACTTATGTTTTCAAGTTATATATGTAAGTTCGAGTTATTTGTGAATGCCTTAGCATAGAGCTCCACTTGTAGCCCTTCATACGATGAGCAACAATAAGCACATTCTGTTAGGAATGAAGAGATTGAGGTAACCTTGTGTTTGTCATTACTTCTATTATTCTTTTTAAGTTTTTATGCTTGCAAGTTTGCAGGTTCCATAATAATTCTATGTGAATGTCGAATACCCATTTCTATTTTATCATGTAGTGGCTGAATATTAAGGTCTCTTAGAGGTTATGAACATGGATGGGTGAATATTCTTGTGTATATATGAAGGTAAACTTTGCAATAGCTCTGGTGGTCAAGAAGGTAAACTTTGCAATAGCTTTGATGGTTGCATAGAATATGTTGGGGCGTTTTATGTGCTTTTGTAGTTCATCAACAAATCACTTTCGATGAGATAAAGGAACATGTAGCAGAGCGATTCTCCATAAAGTTATAGCCATTTGTCATTTAAACATATCTTCTCAAGTAAGAAGAGAAGCATGTTATCTTGATCATGATTTAGAACGGATGTTGTCCACACATAAAGGCAGTAATGAGTTAAAAATCTATGCTTTAGATGGTTGTGAATGAAAGAGTGGTGTTTGAGTGGCCAATGGTACCACAAGGTATGCTCGCCTATGAATTTGATCTAATCAACCTTTGTTTTGTATGTAAAATGCATATAACATATAAATTTCATCTAATCATACCGTTATTTTATATATTGGTAATCAATGGGTTTGGTCCATAGTTAACAAGTTGCCAATTTAATTGTGACTTTTTCGAAAAAAGCTGTGTTTTTTTAAAAACGATTTAATGTGTGACTTTTAATAGATCGGTAAAAATACGCCATCTTTTCAAGAAGAAGTTTAAAACGTGATTTTTTCAAATTTTGAAAAAATCGTTTCAAAAAATCTTTACTATTAATATACTATGATTTTTGTTTTTGCAAAGTTCAATATCCTTTTTCTGTTTTATGAAATTTCTATGTCTATTTCTATTTTTATTTCTATTCTCCCAAATCTTTCTTTGGTTCTATGGATATGGTGCGTATTTTTTTGGGTTTTTTGGGTGGTTATGGGTAGATCATAGTTAGCAAGTATGGGGTAGACAATTTATTCTCGATCTCTTTACATGAAGTATTTTTACCGATCCATATTTTTTACCCGATTTTTTTATTGGGCTTTTTAAAATAAAAACGATTAGTTTCCAATTTCATGATGAGCCAATTTATTGATAATCCCCGACTTGCTAACTAAAGATTGGTCTAATCACCTTTTTTTTTCATCGAATATTAGAGCTAGAGAAGACATTTACTAAAATATCTAAGAAATTCACTGCTTCAATATGGGATTCAAAGTCAACACTAGTATAGTAGTAGAAACAAACTCGAATTTACAATTTTTAGTGTGATAGAAGAAAATGATGATGAGAATTACACTGCTAACATCTTTTGCAACAAATAACTCGAATTTACAGATTTAAACAGAAAATACATGTAACAGTCACTTGCAGGCACAAAAATGGTAAGACATTACAGCTAGATCCCCATGGATTGCTCAAATTTAAGCCAAAATCTTAACTCGGATGTCACTACAACTATGCCAAAAAGAGAAACCCTAAAACATTGACATAAGAGTGAATTCCTCACCTTTCAAAATTTCAAACAAAATTTTCGAAGTTTTCGAAGAACAAGAAACAGAAAAATAAATAGAGTTCAAAATTTTTTGAGATAAATGTGAATGCCATAAATTTCAACAAAAACAACTTACCTTGAGGGGTTCTTTATTGCTCAAAAAAAGGGATGGAATTTGTAGAGGAAATGGTGCCTTCTGACTCTTGGATGAGAGAGAGGGTATCATGGACGAGAGGGTATCAAGGAGAGAGATGAGAGTGCGAGAGGGAGAGGGTTTTGGGGAGAGAAGAGAGAGTGTGTTTGGGGGAGAGAGGGGGAAGGTTGTTTGGAGAGAGAGGTGAGAGAAAAAAAAGGTTTGGGGGAGACAAGAGAGTGTGAGCGAGAGGGGTTAGGGGAGAGAGGTGATAGAGAGAGAAAGAGAAATAGGGGGAGAGATACGGGGGACAGAAGTGATAGTGAGGGAAAGAGGGTTTGGGGGAGAGGGATGAGAGAATGTGTGGGAGGGTTTGGGGTGAAAGGCAATAGAGAGAGGGTTTCGGGGGAGAGAGATGAAAGACTATGAGGGAGAAAGGCTGGGGAGCGAGGTGATACAAAGAAAGATGGTTTGGGGGAGAGAGGTGAGAGTGAGAGGGAGAAGGGTTGGGAGAGAGAGAGAGATTTAGGGGAAAAAAGTGAGAGAAAGAGAGAGGTTTAGGGGGGAAACAGAGGGATAGAGAGAGAAAGAAAAGGTTGTATTTTTAGAAAGAAATAGAGCTGCATTTTTAAACTGTTCGGGGCAAAAAAGTGTGATAAAAATGGGTAAATTCGGTCCAAGAAATTAAAAAGATATATTTTTTAGAACCTCTATGCAGCCAGCCAATTTCAAATTTTGTGAGTCTATTGAGAACTGGTACACCAAAATGGGGTCTATGGAGATATTTTTCTTTTATTTTTAGCATAAAAATGTCACAATCATCATTAATCATCGGACAGTAAGAGGTGTGTGATTGATTGGGTACAAATACAAGAAAATTTCTCAAACCATGTAACACACCCAAGTCATTGAATTTCACATCCGATGCCTAAAGATAATTGTGACCTCCTTGTACTAAAAGTGAACGGTCTTGTAATATACAATCCCATACATATCAATAAGTCTTTGTTAGATCACTTTTTGATGCAATTTCCTTTATACATAATTCCCATGAAACGCAATATGATTCAGTCTGTCTAGCCTTCTTTCAATGTTGAGAAGGTAGCTGCTTTCATCTAGATACGTACTGTATAAGGGAGGGGGGGACTTTGAAATGGCAAGCACAGTCGTAAGGTTGAATCTGCATATCTTCAGAGGGATAACTAAATGGATTTAAAGGTTGGTGTTGTTGATTAGCCATCATCTAATGCTGGATTATGAAATCATGCTGTTGATGAGCTTTAAATTCCATCTTAAAAGGGGCCATGGAAATCATGTTTGGAGCATCATATATATCTTGAAGCGCATTGAAGGGATTAGGGACCACTTTTCTACTATTCTAGCTCCCTTTTTGTGTTCCTTGTCTTTCTTAAACATTCATATTTTGCATTCCCCATGTTTCCAAAACATTCTCATAAGAGCCGTCCCATTCAAACTTGGTCTGACCCCTATCCTGTTACAAAGTGAAAAGGATCTTAGATAATAAATCTCCTATGTCAAATATCACTGAACTAAATTTGCTACATTGAGAGATCTTTGGATAAATGTATATATGGACAATGACATTGGACCCATAACTCTAGGTAAAGATCAAGGAACCTAATTTCTTGTGTATGTCCATGACAACATAATGCAGATTTTCCATCTTCAGGTAAGGTTACCTGTTTCAATTATCAAACCATGTATCTTTAAATGGACTAAAATAATTGTTTTCCTCTCAACTTATGTATAGCCTTCATTAAGTTCAGTATAGGGAGGGGAAAGAAAATCGAATTTTCTTTTTGGATAATTTAGAGGTAAAGTTTGAAAACATATCTTTAAATGTGGACTAAAATCTGGTACCAGATTTCGACATAGAGGTTCTAAAGATCATTCATGCTAAATGGAAAAAGACCACAAATATCCAGGTCATGTGAAATATTCATAAATAAAATATTGATAATGAAACTTTCACCTGTGATACCGTTTGTCATGTACACAAGAAGCAGTAACATTTTGAGTACCTGTAATGAAATGAGCAAACGGACATATGAGAAGCTTCTTCTCGCTTTTAGGCCATCAATAGAGAAAAATACGCTTGCATTATATACCTGATGGAATAAAGGCAAGTGCAAGGGGATTTTCCACATGAGCTGTATAAGCTATTGGTGTTGTATTCTTTGGTCCCTATTAACCATGAAAACAAATGCCCTTATGAACCCAGAAATCCTAATAAGCTCTGCAGTGCAAATCAAAAGATGGGCTGATTCAATATTTTTATTTTCTATTTAATTTCAGGGGGCTTATTTATTTATTTTTATGGGTTACATATTAGAATTAGTGTGGAAAATTGGGACAGCTTCTTATTCTATGTTATAGGCTAGGTAGTTAATATCCATTTTTCATTAGGAGTGGATTGATTTCCTACTTGTTGAATATTTGTTGGAGGCCCTGCATAATTGTTTTATGGTAGGCCAGTTGGATCTATGTCCTATGTTGGAGTCAAGTGGAGGACTAGAAAGTACGTGAATTAGATAGGAGTAGGAAGGGAAATACATGGGTTTAAGAAAAGCATCCTACAATGGTGGGTCCAAGGGAGAGGTAGGAGAGTTAGGGAGAGATAGGGGGGATTCATTTAGGGTCCCAAACATAGGGAAGTAGGAGAGTAGTGCGTGACATTTTCTTGGAAGACATTGTCCTATTTTGAATGGATATCCTATTTTGATGGGATTTGCAAGAAAGAGGAAGGTACTTGAGAGTGAGAGAGAGGTGTAGAGAGGAGGACATGTGGAGGCCTAAATATTGGGTGTGGTGAGAGGGTTGCATCAGTTTGAGAGAGAAAATATTTGTTTTTTTTTTTTTTAATTTCGATTTGAATAGAAGGAGACTTGGACATCCCAAATAGAGAGCTTGTGTATTCTTATTCTCTTTGGGCATAATTACAACCATACTTCTCTGTTTGCTGAGTTGTGTATTCTACGATTGAAAGAAGGAAAGAAGGGTGGATGTAGCTTCTCAGCCTCCTTTCACATCGCTCTGGATATCAAACATTTTACATGACATAAATGTAGAAAGTCCACATACCAATAAATCAACAGTTGGTGCATATGTAGGCATCTCTAATTTAACAGGTTTAGAGAGCGATGAATAAAGTGGAGGAGGTGGTTGCACTTCGGGTGTTTTCTTATACTCCAATGCTAACAATGCCTTGGGAGCAGGATTACTATAAAGAACCTGGTAACAAAATAGAAACACAAAATTTCCATTCACAGGTTCAATAAATAGAACATGCAGCAATTTGAAAGAAATGAATGTCAACTGAACTAAATGGTATATAACACTGAGGTTCTCGAAATTGTATCTAGTAACAGGAAGCATGAAATGTTATTTCAAAAGAAATGAGATCAAAGCACATCTAGTGGATGTAAAGAACATAAAATATTAGAGAGACTACTCATAAACCTATATAAGCATAAAATAATGCTAAAAACCCATGGAAAACACACACACACAAAAAAAAAAAGAAAAAAAAAAACCTTTAGTTTTGAAAAATAATTAGAGCAAGATATTAATGACAAAGAAGACATTAAATGTCTCAAAGGAAATGCGAGATTGACACAAACAACTTGTTGAGATGTATCCTACGTAATCTATGAGCTTAACTATTAGTCATTTTATAGATGGATGCTTTTTTCGTCATTCATTATTGGTGAAATTCATTTTAACCAACTCTGGAGATAAAATGTAATTCACCATACATACATACATACATTAGGGGGTGATTTCATGTCACCATATCATTGTAATATAATGAAACCACACTTTTAGAACACCATGTTTGTCGCATTTCTATGACCCCAAATTTTTCATAGGCACTATCTTCATCCCCACAATTAAGCGCAAAAATAAAATATAATTCAATTTGCACCGTACATATGATCAAAATGAGCCCCCTTCCAACAATGAATCTAAACCTTCCATTTGGTGAATTCTAAAATCTAGGCCTTTAGAAATTCAAAATCAATTTTTTCTTTCTTGAATATTGTTCATCTAATGACAACAAAGCCATCTACAAAATTTGGAAAATGAAAAAGTTCCTTCTAAGGCCTAGATCTAAGAATCTCAGCAAATAAACAATCTATTTTAAGTGCTTTAAAAAAACACTCTTTTGGGTGCATTTTCATTTATTTTTTTTGTAATTATTCATCAAAACGAATAGAGCATATGTTTAAAAATTGGGGTCAAACAAATGACCCTAGCATAGCCTTTGAAGGTTTTTTTCATTATATCACTATAAAACCATTGCATGAAATTACTCCCCACACATACACACACCCCACACATGCAAGCTCCATATGGGAAATGCATAAGCAGCCTGTTGATATGTTCTAACTTTTTTTTTTGGCTAAACAAGCTAAGGATCTTTCAGACTTCAATGTAGCATCTTCATCAGCCTTTAATTGGATGACCACAATCCTCTATGGCTGAAGAAGGCCGAGGGGCCCACAGCTGGAATTCACACTCTCACCAGGTGGAATGTGCCATCAGCAAGATTTAAATACGTGTCTCCATTGTGCCAATGGAAACAGATGTACCACCTATAGAGCAAATCCTATTCAAGTAGTTCATTAATCTTCAACAAATAGAATTATAATTTTTATTGGTAAAAAATAACTATTAAAAACTTAAAATTACATAGGAAATCCAAATCTACTATTAAAAAAGGAATGCAATATTGGCATCTCACTCGGACCACACGAAAAAGAATACACCATCACATTGGCATTGGCATTTGCAGCCCTTAGAACATCACAAAATAAATAGACATTAAAATTTCTTTACTTGTTGAAAAAAAAAAGAAAAATCATTCTGCTTCTTGGGGCACTAAGACTGACAAAAAAAAAATCTTGGAACAACTATGGTCTTACTTTGTGGTTTTCTACTTAAAAAGATGGCATGGTGCATATGTATATCTCCATATGGTAAAGACAATCTCAAAGAAGACTACATTTATGACAAAAATGTGTCATCACAAATTCATAGGTGGCAGGTAGACAAATTTAAAGGGGACGATGGAACTTTATGCAGTAAGATCTCATAAGGGACTTTTGTGCTCATGGCTAAATGATGCATAGACAGAGCACATTTTAGCGCAACTTGATCATCCATAGAAGTCTGTTACTAAGGTCTTGATGAAGAAAATAAAAGAAAGTTTTGGTTAAGTTTTGATTTCTTTTGGACTGCATTTTCTTTTTCTTTTCATCTACAGAAGTCTGTTACTGAGGTCTTAATGAAGAAAATAAAAGAAAGTTTTGGTTAAGTTTTGATTTCTTTTGGACTGCATTTTCTTTTTCTTTTTTGTTTTTTAGGTATATTTTGGGAATTTTCATCTACAATGGACTTTTCCATAATTTACAGAAAAGTCAGGGGGGTTCTTTTAAATTTTGGGCCTGGGAAAAATTAGGAGGGAAATGTTTGAATTTTAATTTAAAATCATGCTTGGGAAGTGGTATTGTGCATGGCTTGGGAAAGTGTATTTTGCATGGTTTGACAAGTGGTAGAGTCCATTTAATGTTCCTAGGAAAGTTAAGAGAACTTTAACAAAGAAGGCAAGCCAGATCTATTAAAAGGGGAGACCTTACCCTGCTGGAAATCAATGCTTTTGCTGTAAATCTCAGAAAATAAAAAACTTACTTCCCATTTGGGTGTATTTGGACCCTCATACAAGCCATTGAAACTACACTTTGTTAGCTTCAACCCATTGTCTTTGAATCACAGTTTAGTTCCTTGTTTTCTACCTACTTTTGAGCTATTTCTCTCATTTCTCTCTATTTCCTGCATCAAGTAGTATCAAAACAGGAATCCTCTCTTTTGGACCTTGAATTATGGCCAATAGAGGACAAAATGGAGAAAGTGGAGGTCGAGGAGGAGGAAGAGGTGCTGTACCAAGGGGCAGAATATGAGGACCTATTGAGGAGGTTCAATGAAATGGAGCAATTGTGGGTCGTTTTGCCAACTTTGATCGAGAGTCAGTCACTTACAAAAGTAAGGAATCGAGTAAAGAACGTATCAATCCTTCCACAACCGAAGGGAAACCTACATTAGTGGATAGGTTGGTTCATGGCCTAGCTGGTTCAAATGAAGGCGTGAGAGTGGATGTCCCTGAATTTTTGGGAATTTTTTCAGTCCGATGAGTTCTTCCACTGGTTAGACAGTGTGGAGGCCTTCTTCGAGTGGAAAGTTTTTTCAGAAGAAAGGAAGGTCAAACTTGTGGCTAACCGACTCAAGGGGCATGCCCAAAAAAGGTGGCAGCAGGTGCGAGCCAGTCGAGTGTGAAAAGGGAAAGAAAAGATAGCAACTTGGAGGAAAATGAAGTTGCGTCTTAAGGAGAAATTCATACCCTCTGGTTATGCGCAAGAATTGTTCCAACATTTGTGGGAAAAGGAGGTATCCAGGAGTATACGGATGGATTCTTCCTCCTTGTGAACCAGAATGAAGTCAATGAAAGCAATGAACAGCTCGTTGTAGGTATGTGAGTGGACTGAAACCCCAAATTCAAAACAATCTAGTTCTACAACGGATTTTCAGTCTTGATGAGGCTTATGAAATGGCCTTAAAAGCTGAAACCTAGTTAAGAAATAGTCAAACTGGGGCAGGAAATCAACCACAATTCAATGGGGACATGTGGCAAATCAAAAGCCACGAGATTTGGGTGTGAACCCAAATGAGGCATCTATGGGCAAAGCTCCAGCTGCTAATAGGCCTCTCCAAACCAGAGAACAGGGTGTAAAATATTACAAATGTGGCGTGCATGGCCAGGGGTCGTATGAGTGCTAGAAACGGCAAGCTAGAACACCTCTCCCAGATGGGAATGAAGTGAATGAAGAAGACTTTGTCATGGGGCTAGTATTCGATGAGGAGCTGGTAGGGGAAATTGAGTAAGATGCTGCGGAAATTGAGGATGATGAGGGGGATTTCCTTATCATTAGACAACCACTAACTACCCCAAAGGTGATAGATGAATCGTGGCTTCGAACCAACATCTTATGGACTCACTGTACAGTCCTTGGGAAGGTGTGCAACATTATCATTGATAGTGGCAACTGCGGTACTTTGGTGTCTCAAGAAGTTGTTGACAAGTTGAAGTTGACATTTGAGAAACATCCACTGCCCTGCAAAATTTCATGGTTTCGGAAATGTAATGAGACTCCGATAACTTCTCGTTGCTTACTTAATTTTTCCATTGGTAAAACTTTTAATGATTCAGCTTGGTGTGATGTCCATCCAATGGACATATGCCACATCGTTTTAGGTCGTCCTTGGCAATATGATCGAGCTGCCATAAACCATGGGCAACACAGTACAAACTCTTTTTGGAAGGATGGGGTGAAAATTGCTTTGAAACCGTTAAAGGAGGAAAACAAGCCTGAACCCGAGAGTGGAAAAGGAGATGTTGTCCTTACTTTGAACCAGTTTGTTGAAGGCGGCAAATAATAAAGGGTAGTGTATGCTTTGGTAGCCAAAGAAGGGTCTTGCCTAAATGAAATCCCTACAAAAGTTAACCCACTAGTTGAAAAGTTAAAGGATGGGATTACTGATGAACTACCTAATGAGTTGCCAACGACGAGAGCCATTCAACATTGCATTGATTTTGTTCTAGAATCCACTCTCCCTAACTTGCCACATTATCGAATGAGTCCCAAGGAGCACAAGGAGTTACATAGGCAAGTAACGGAATTTTTGTAGAAAGAGCATGAGCCTATGTGCAGTATCTGCTTTGTTAACTCTAAAGAAAGATGGCTCGTGGAGAATGTGTGTGAATAGTAGAGCAATTAATAAAATCACAATTAAATACCGTTTTCCTATCCCTCGACTTGATAACATTCTTGATATGCTATCAGGATCAAGGGTATCTTCTAAAATTGACTTGAAAAGTGGTTATCACCAGATTCGTATAGACAAGTGGAAGATTGTGTTTCAGACACGAGAGACTTATATGAGTAGCTGGTCATGCCCTTTGAGCTCTTTAATGCTCCAAGCACTTTCATAAGAGTAATGAACCAAGTGCTTTGCCTATTCTTTGGCAGGTTTGTAATGGTGTACTTCGATAACATCCTCATTTACAGTGCAAGCACTGATGAAAATTTGTTGCATTGAAAGCAGGTGTTTAAGGTCCTTCGAAATATTTGTTCCTGTTCATTCCTATCACAACAAGATGGACTTTACCTAGGATGAGAATGGACCAACTATTAAATCTTGGTTGGAAATTTCTTTTACCTATTGCTCTAGGTAATCTATTACTGACAACTTCTTCCCAACTTTTTTCGCTGTAATGTAATAAAATAGAAGATTCTAGATTCATAATCTCTCTCAAGCAAGAGAAAGAAAGATTATTCATGAATATCAACAATATGTTCCCTATGGTGACTGGGTTCATGAATTATGGTCAACAAGCAGTGCGAGCTGCAAGATATATTGGTCAAAGTTTCATGATTACCTTATCTCACGCGAATCGTTTACCTGTAACCATTCAGTATCCTTATGAAAAATCGATCACATCAGAGCGTTTCCGGGGGCGAATCCACTTTGAGTTCGATAAATGCATTGCTTGTGAAGTATGCGTTCGTGTATGCCCGATAGATCTCCCCTTTGAGCTCTTTAATGCTCCAAGCACTTTCATAAGAGTAATGAACCAAGTGCTTTGCCTATTCTTTGGCAGGTTTGTAATGGTGTACTTCGATAACATCCTCATTTACAGTGCAAGCACTGATGAACATTTGTTGCATTGAAAGCAGGTGTTTAAGGTCCTTCGAAAAGAACAGTTATTTGTAAACCTCAAAAGATGTTTATTTTTTATTGATTGTTTAGTACTTTTGGGTTTTCTAGTGTTAAGTGAATGGTCAAGATGGATCCTACTAAAGTACAAGGCATTGTGACTGGCTGCCACCCAAAACAGTGACTGAGGTGAGAAGTTTTCATGGTTTAGCAACATTTTACAGGAGGTTTATCAGAAACTTCAGCAGCACAATAGCACCCATAACTGATTGCATGAAGAAAGGGGTGTTTAAGTGGACTTTAGCTGCTGAAAACAACTTCAAATTAGTGAAAAAAGAACCCGTGGAAGCACCATATGTGAGTATTGGACTTCTTTCCTCAATAGCTTTCTTCCTATTCTTCTCCATAACCCCCGTTCTGGGACGAATTCCGAACAGAATGACTGGGTACCCAAGCCTAGTTAGGTTTACAAGATCGCTTTTTTGTGTCGACAACAGCAAATCAGAACTTTGGCAGACTGATAAAGCAAAAATGGGTCGAATACTCAGAAAATGTGACAAGTGCTCCTGTCCTTGCACTTCTAGATTTTGAAAAGGTCTTCCAAGTGGAGTGTGGTGCCTCGAAGGTGGGAATTGGAGGTACCCTAAGTCAATAGGGCAGACCTGTTGCCCTTTTAACGAGAAATTGCGTAGGACAAAGATTAATTATTCTACTTATGATGTGGATATCTATGCAGTGGTTCAAGCTCTGAGACATCGGAAGCACTACCTCATTCAGAGAATTTATCTCATTTACAATGAAGCTTTGACGTATCTGAGTGCTCAAAAGAAACTGAATCGTAGGCAATGCTAAGTGAGTCTCTTACTTACAAGAGTTCACTTTTGTGGTCGGCCATGAAATAGGCAGCCAAAACAAAGTGGCTGATGCCATCAGCCAGAAGTGTCACCTCCTTGGTACTTTTGCCACCTCACTTGTAGGATTTGAGTCCCTACCTTAGGCTTATAGTATTGAGTACTGACCCTTACTTCTCTAAGATCCTTGAGTAACTTGCACAAGGAGAAAGGGTATGCCGTTTTTGTTTTGAAGGATGGATTTCTCTTCAAAGGGAGTCGGCTTTGCATTTTCGAGGGGTCATTTCACATCCAAATCATGGGTGAGATGCATGGTGGCAACCTTAGTGGTCACTTTGGGTGGGATAAGACCACAACTCATGCGAAATAATAGTAGTTTTGGCCCAAAATAAGGAGAGATGTCACCCAGTTGGTCAAGCGTTGCGCAGTTTGCCAATTGGCAAAGGGTTGGTCTTCAAACACTGGTCTTTATACTCCCTGACCTATCCTAGACCGACCATGAATAGATGTGATTATGGATTTTGTGGTAGGACTTCCCCACACCTCGAGAGTGTTTGACTACTATCTTTGTGGGGGTAGATAGGCTCTCTAAAGTGGTCCACTTTATCCTTTGCCAAAATACTTTAGATGCGACCCGAGCGGCTGATCTCTTTTTTAAGGAAGTGATTCGCCTTCATGGCATGCCAAAGACCATCACTTCCGACTGAGACAGCCATTTTAGGAAAACCTTGGGAAAAATCTTAGGCACTAAACTGCAGTATAGCAATACCTACCACCCCCAAACTGATGGCCAAACCGAGGTCGTCAACTAGAGCCTTGAAGATTTGTTGAGAAGCCTTGCCAGGGACAAGCCTTCTCAATGGGATTGAGTTTTACCTTTGGCAGAATTTGCCAACAATAGTTCCCTTAATCGGTCCACGGGGAAAGCTCAATTTGAGGTGGTCTAGGTAATCCACCAAGCAAGGTGCTCGACACAATCCCTTTGCCCGAAAGGTTCAAGCTAGCAATGATGTGGAAGCTTTGGCTAAGAAAATTCAAGACCTCCATCGACAAGTTTGAAAAGACTACAAAAGTGTTTTAACATGTACAAAGCTGATGCCTACTTGCACAGACATGAACAAACCTTTGAAATAGGAGACTTGGTAATGGTGTACCTTAGGCATGAGAGCTTCCTAAGAGGGAGTTATCATAAGTTTAAATATTAGAAAATTGGCCCTTGTCAAGTGCTTCAAAAGATGGGGCAAAATGCCAACAAAATAGAGCTTCCTCATGGACATGAAATTTCTCCTCTATGAGAATCATGGGGAGGTTGATGTGGAAGGTAGTGCCAGTTGGGAAACACATCTACCTAAGCGAGAGGGGACAAGGTAGAAAGGATCTTGGACAGCCGCATCATCGCTACCCGTCGAGGGAATTACGGTTAGTATTTTAGTACAGTGGAGGGCCCAGCCTGATGCAAAGATCTTGTGGATTTGTAAAGAAGAAATGATGACGATTGATCTAAAAGCCCTTGGGGAGTTCATTGCCGGTTCGAACTCAAGGGCAAGTTCTCTTTAACCCCGGGAGATTGATGAAGAAAATAAAAGAAAGTTTTGATTAAGATTTGCTTTCTTTTGAATTACATTTTCTTTTTCTTTTTTCTTGCAGGGGTATTTTGGGAAATTTCCTCTGTAATGGTCTCTTCTGGGATTTACAGAAAAGTCAGGGAGTTCTTTTAAATTTTTGGGCATGGGAAAAATTAGGAGGGAAATATCTGAATTTGAATTTGAAATATTGCTTGGGAAGTGGTATCGTGCATGGCATGGGAAAGTATATTTTGCATGACTTGAGAAGAGGTAGAGTCCACGTAATATTCCTAAGAAAGTTACGGGAGCACTGACTTAGAAGCCAAGCCAAATCTATTAACAGGGGAGACCTTACTCTGCTGGAAATCAATGTTTTTAATGTAAATCTCAGAAAATCAGGAACTTAGTTCCCATTTGGGTGTCTTTGGACCCCCATATAAGCCATTGAAGCTAGGCTTTGTTAGCTTCAATCCATTGTTTTTGAATTACTGTTAAGTTCCCTTGTTTTCTACCTGATTTTGAGCTATTCCTCTCTTTTTCCTGCATCAGGTTTTGGCTAGCACTAAATTGTTATCCACTATCAGTCTAAATAATACCTTCTGAATTCATCTTAAATACAATGTAATTGTGAAAAGTGCATGGACATGGACATAAATAGGAAAGGATATTTTGAGTCATGTAAGAAGGGAAGACAATGATTGACAATTTTTTTCCTATTTTTTTTAAGGAGAAACAAAAAATTAGATTTATTTATGAAGCTAATTTGTAAAAGTCTCCCAGAGAAAAGTACAGATAGGAGCTAGTCTCTAGAGAATCCATATACCATCTCTCGACGATCAGTTGAAACTCGTGGAGCACCCTTCACAAACTCTTCCATGGCTGTGAGAAAAAATGAAGGCGACTGCATCGTTTGTCAGAAAGTAAATAACTACAAGCCATAGGTGAGAAGACCAATTGAATTGAACCTTCATATTACACAGCATGATAAAAACACAACCAGATACAAAGAAACAAAAGCTCTAACCTGTTCAATTTTGACAAAGCTTTCAGCACCCCGAGGATCAAGCCCCTTACATACTTCATAAAATTCAGACAAATTTGACGCATAAAACAATGAAAAGAAATAGTAAAAGCACAAGTCCTGAACAGAAATTCGCCCAAAAAATAATTTGCAACCTCATCCAACACAATAATTTGTATGAGTAAATCCAACTTATAAAAGGAATAAAGGAAGAACCTGCTGTCTGGCCTTCCAGTATATGTCAAGAGCCCTCAAAGTATGATGTTGTTTCATTCCAAAGAACTGATATGATAACCAATAACAAGTTGGTATTCACAATGATTTAAGGAAGGCTTAATGATCACATCAGCAATTTGTTACTACCTTGTCGACTAAATTGAAAGTGGCATCATTAATTGCATTGAAAATCCTAGTACTTTCCCCTGCAACCTGGGAAAATAGAACAATATCAAGCATGCAAAAGAAATCATGGTAATCTATAATTGATCCTATCAATGCAACTCCAAATAGTATACATCAAATCAGGCAATTAATACTTACCAATGAAAGAGCCAATTGGATAATACAATTAGTTCCAGCTGCTCGTTGTGGCTGTGCAAACAGATGCCATCAGTATCCTGGAAGAAACTACATCAAGCCACATACCTAAGAAAAAGAAACTATATCAAGAGCTTCTGGGCCTCTTACTTTAAGTGACAGAAAAATACGAGTTTAGATCAATACAATCCATAGAATGCATATAAGGGATGTAGAAGTCATGATTATCCAACATGAAGCACCATCACAGATTACCTGGCAAGCAAGAAGACGAGAAAGTAGTTGCTGCAAAGATGGTAATTGTAAGTCAGCCGTGTCGAGTTCCCCCATCCTCTGAAAAGTGAAAAACCAGTTTGTTGGTGCAAATATCACAATGATTTTCATGCAGCAAATGCTCAAGGCATCTTCAATATTATAGGAAACCAAATAGCATACAAACACTTCTATCATGGAAACAAATAATTCTCAAAATAATTCATTATATATTTCATCAGACCACAAAAATTCATTTTACAATCATTTTAAAAGGAATTTAAACTTTCAAGAATTCTTTAGAACCTTGGTCTTGCCCATTTGGAAGGACACATTCAATGAGTTACTGATTTCACCATTGTGCATAAGCCCTCTAGGGCATTTTGATGACTACCATAAATCCCATAAATCAACAGTTCAGGTATCTTCATTGAACCACTTGTGTTAAGAGTTTTAATCAAAGAATTTTTTTTTATTATATAGACCAAGGAAAACAATTACATTTTGCATTCTCATATTTCTCACCAAGCTTTATCATTCTTTGTGTTGGATTTAAACTCCACAAATTCCATGAAAATATTTGAGGATATACCAACTTACATCATTCACTTAGATATTCTCAATTTGAGAAGCAGCATAGATCTGATAAACCAAAACAATCAAGGTATGTGCCTTTCATACCAGCACACGTACTGTACTTTCATTGAATGTGCCAGGCACATTTGTTGATTACTAAAATTTGAACTTTCGAATACATATTGTTCTATTTTTTTCTCTCTCTCTCTTTTTTTTCCTTTGAGTAAGGATTATAACAATATGGATACAGTAATGCGATTATGATTTTAAAGAATCTATTCAAAAGAAATAGGACCACAATATAACAGTTTATAGAAAAGAAAGTCAAGCAACTCAACATCTTTCTCTCCCTTGAGAAATGCTTTCCATTAAATAGAGGGAGTCCAGGCAAAGACAAGATTGAGTTTGTTGAGACTGTTTGAATAACTCAGCTGTATGAGGATCTTTACAGATCTTATCTTCACTTAAAATGTCTCCTTTATCCTTCTGATCCATATGCTTAATGCCCCGAGTCTAGTTGAGCATAGGGGGAAGCACAAATTCCAACTTGCTGTGACTGTCACTGAAAATGATACAAGGGAGACTTTTTGGTGAAAATGTTGGCTGACTGACGAAGGATGGGACAAAAAAAACACAAAAAGAACGAGCTGCAACCTTCTCTCTCCAACAAAGTCGTCCAATTCTGTATTTAGCATGGCCATGGAAAACTGGATTAGAACTCATATAAGTGGCACTCAAGTTACACAATGATTGAGATAAACAGCTAGGTCACATATCGAAAAGGCTATCCATGAGAGTTCAGTGGTTCTAACAGCCAGAGAACAATATTTGGCTTCTAAGCTTGGCCTATTCCATGGTCAGTTGTTCCTTTACAGTCCATGAGACACAATTTGATCGAAGAAAAATAGCATAACCTGATATCGATTGTTGAGTAACAGGGCATCCGGTCCAATCAGTGTCAGAGGAACCATACAAGGCCAATGAACTATTGGCATGAAGAAATAAGCCATGATGAATGCTTCCCTTTATATAGTGTAAAATATGTTCAACTACGTTAAAATGTTCAATGATAGAGGCATGCATAAACTAACATACATCATTGATATTGTATGCAAGGCAGGATATATCATGGGATCAGGAATTGGGGTGCATGTAGAATGCAACAGCTAGCCAGCAAGAATAGGAGTTGTTTTTTGTTTGCAAGTCGTATCAGCACATGGGCTGGCAACAGGCTAGGCCAGCGTTGGCTCTAGCCCGGCCCTGGTGTCAAAAGGCCTAACCCAAGACCAACCCTAGGCCCGGGCCGGGCCGGGACGGGCTTGGCCTAATACACTTGAAGGGAAAAAGGAAAAGGAAGGGGAAAAAAATGGAAACAAAGGCCTGGACAGGGCAGGTCCTGTGCCTTGACCCAGGCCCACTCGGCCATACCCACGGCCATTGTGGTCCAGACCCTAGTTTTATAGGGCTGGACTACTCAGCCCATTGCCAACCCTAATCAGCATGAGCTAGAAGTTGTGCAGCCAACTTTGAGATAAAAACAGCCTAAAGGAAGAAGTTGCGATATCAAGTCCCTAAAACGATAAGATAGCCCAAGGTCCAAGGCAAATTCATGAGCAAGATCCGCAATAATTGTCTATAGAAGAGAGTCATTATCCCTTGCAAGGAAGAAATCATCCATATAAAGGAGGATCAATATCCCATTCGAAGTACTTAAGATAAACACCGAACTACTACTGATAGAGATAGATGATGAAATAATCAAACCAGGCTTGTGGAGCCTGTCTAGTCCCATAGATGGCATGATGGTGCTTACAAAAATAATCAAGATGAGATGAATCAATGCATCTAGGTAGTTGATCCATATATACCTCCTCTTGAATATGACCATACAAAAAGGCATATTTAACATCCAATTATCAAATGAGCCAATGGTTAGTTGTTGCAATAGTGATCACAATAGTAGCCTTTATGACAGGGCTAAATGCTTCATCGAAGTCTACCCCATGCATTTGATTCTTCCCCTTGGTCACAACATAACTTGGTTTTGTAAACCTATTTGAACCAATGATGTTCGTGTTATGCTTCCACAAAACAAGAAGTGTAGCAATCTCCTTATCCACGGCAGCCTTCCAATGAGGTAACTTAAGAGCAGCTCTCAAACTCTTTGGTTCATTGGCAATATCAAGGGAAGCGACGAAAGTACTATGCGAAGAAGTGAGGGATTGAATATCACACCATCATGAGAGGTTGTAGTGCATGGAGAGGGCCATTATGACCATGTCGAGTGTGTTAACAAAGAGTGGATATTTGTAGAAGAATAACCGCCACCATTTGTATGAGAGGGACTTGATGGTGAAAAACATATTTCATCTCTAAGGCACTTAATACTATTGAGCCACCGCAAGGGTGGCCGTTTCCATTGAAACATCATTGTGGTAAGAGCGACATTATTGAGCAAACCTGGTTCAATCACTCAAGTATCATACGATAAAGAGATGGTAGGAGAGATTGCCCACCATCATCTATGTTATGGAAGAAAACCTTTGGCAAGATAGCATTGTCCATTGTAGAATGAGATCCAGATTTCTTCTGATGGTCGAAGAGCTCAGACTTTGATAACTACCAACTCATCAAAAATGACATGACCAGTGAAGTGAAGCCGTCCTGAGGGTGGACGAAGGCAGCAAAATCTTTTGTGATGATCATTATAACCCAAGAAAGACACATAGGTGTGATTTTTGGTGAGAATTCATTCCGTTGTATAATTACACAAATTTGGGAAGAAACATCCAAATGTCCTTAATTGCCTATAGTCAGATATATTTCCAAAGAGCTTGAAGTATGGAGAATGCTTGTCGCTAACAGCCGCAGCTATTTGCTCAATCAAATGCACAACAGTGGAAAATGCTTCAATCTAAAGATTTTTTGAAACATTGCTATGAGAAAGGAGAGTTATCCCATCCTTGTTATTTGTCTATGTTTTCTTTCAAATCACCCATTTTGTTTTTGGAACATAACGAAGTATCCCACAATCACCAGGTGATTCAAAAGTTGTGTTTGTGAATTCACCCCGCATCACACTAGAAAATCTTAATCCTTTTGTCAGTATTTTCAACCATTTTTTGAAACTTGATAAAGTAATCATAAAACTTAGATCTTCTTTTTAATGAATAGAACCATTTGCATGAACAAAATCATCAATGAAAATAAATTAATAACAAAATCCGTATATATAAGATATTGGTCCAGGTCCCCAAACGTCCAAATAAACTTTACAAAGAGGAGCAGAAGCAAAACATTCATTGAGCTCGAATGGTAACTTATGACTCTCACCCATCTAGCAGTACAAATAGATCAATCTTTATGTCAAGTTTTGGAGCAATTAGAATGGAACGAATTTTCAATGCATTGTATTACCTAAAACGTGGAGTATTTCTAGAGGATACAAGAGGTTTCAATCCCTTGATTGTATGGATCTATCTAACAAAAATAGAAAATATACTATGCTTATCCTACTAAATTAGAAAGTGTACATGAATACAAGATTTGAATTTCAATTCGAAAATATTGGTAACTCCCAACACTCCCCTCAAGTTGGAGCGTAAACATTGAGTACGCCTAACTTGCCTGTGAGAAACTGCAATTGCTCTTTTCCATGAGCTTTTGTGAATATATCGGCTCATTGAAAACCAGTTGGGACATGAACAGTATGAATGAGGCCCTGTTGAATTTTTTCACAAACTATACGACAATCAATTTTCAGATGTTTTGTTTGCTCATGGAAAACTGGATTGGAAACAATATGTATGGCTGACTTCTTGTCACAATAAAGCATCATGGGGCCACTATCAGGAATGCCAAGATCAGACAAGAGGCATTTTAGCCAAGTAAGTCCACAAGATGCAACTGCCAAAGAACGATACTTCGCTTCTGCAGATGATTGTGAAACTGTTTGTTGTTATTTAGTTTTTCAAGATATAGGACTGTCTCCTAACATAATGCAGTAACCAGTAGTCAAGCGTATGGTCATTGGGAAACTAGTCCAATCAGAGCCACAATAGGCAGAGAGTTGTAGACTACTATTAGCAGAGAGCAAAATTCCTTAGCCAAGTGTCTTTATCAAGTAACAAAGAATTCGAGTAGCGACATCTAAGTGTGATTTTCGAGGTTGATACATGAATTGACTAAGGATGCAGACAATGTTTGGCCTTGTAATTGTGAGAAACATAAGTCAACCATTCAACTGTCGATAAGGCATGGGGTCATTTAAAAGAGGTTCATTTTTGGCATTCAATTTTAAATTTTGTTCCATTGGTAAAGCAACAGATTTTGCAGCCAAACGACCCATATCTTGAAGAATCTCAAAAGTGTACTGCCTTTGTGCAAAAAGAATTCCTTTTCTCATCATTGTTTCCATATCTTAATGATAATTTTTCATATTCATCTTTATCTCATCATTGTTTCCATATCTTAAGGCACAAAAGAGAAAGATTTCCACATCCTCCTTTTCTCAACATTGTTTTTTCTTAGTTTGTTTAAACCTCCTAAAGTTGGTAATAATTAGATCTTGCATTTTTTTTATTTTTTATTTTGATTCCCCCTATCTCAAAAGTTGTGCAACAAGTCATTCCTGTTTTTTTCCCCCTTATTTTTTGATTCAAATCTCCTAAAATAGGTACTTATTCCCAACTCAACCCCAATTGTGTCCAACTATGAGAGAGAGAGAGAGAGTACCGACAATCTAAAATTTGATAAATATGAAAATTTAACCTAGTTGATTATAATAATACATATAGGAGCAATAAAAATTTACCTATATCTTACATATGGGAGCAATAAAATTAACCTATCTAATTTTCTTGAAGAAATAAAAATTAAGCTATCTTATTATATATAATATATATTGGAGATATAAAATGCAAGAGAGAGAAAGATCTGCGTGTTAAGGAAGACTTGAATGGAGTTGCTATTTGAGATATGCAAGGTTGTTTTTTATAGTGTTGAGCCATTCAAATC